ATCATTTATAAATAAATTTCCATCTTCAGATTTGAAAAAAGGTGAGTCTTCTGTGAGATTGGTCATTGTTGTTTGAGCTTTATTGTGCAATTGAAAAGCCACCACCATAGAGATCGAGTTTGCTTGAGGCTCGCCGGCGGTTTCAGAGCAGGAGCGGAGCATGGCGGCCTAGAGATTCAGGTTGCCTGAGGCTCACCGGCGATTTCGGAGCAGGAGCAGAGCATAATGATATGAGAAAACAGAGACACCATGGTTGAAGCTTCAAATAGTGAACAATGGAAAATGACGAAGAGGAAAATTATTTGGGATTTATTTTAGTTTTAGTTAGAGGTATTTAATTAGAAGGTGACTATCTCGTTAGAAAAAAAGAAGAAGAAAAGAGAATTAGTTAGAATAAACTGTCTTGGTAGCATAAACTGCTCTTTTTTGAAATAAAAAACTTAAAACTGCCCTATGATGAAATCAACTCTAAACAAAACATGTACCGGAAAGAATTTCGAATCGAAGTGGAATTCTAGAAAATGTTTGCTACTACTTTCGCTTTCCACGTACCGTTTTCAATTTCACTAAGATAGGACGATATTATCTTCTTCTAGTTAAGACATCCTGAGTGAACCAAAGCATTTCATAATTTATATAAGACCTGTTGGATTTGGTCAATTTGATAAATTATAAAATGCTAAGTCTGGTTCAGTTTGCAAACTAAAAATGCAATTAACTATTTGTCAAATTAAACTGAAAGTTGTGGTTTTGGTTATACTGTGACTAAATTTTCTTAAATTCACGTAGTTTCAATTTATCTCAATCAAATTAAGCTAGTTTGATTTTTAGTTTGTAATCTTAGATATAATTTCAATTTTTGTTTGGTATAAATCAGTATAATTTGGATATATTTTAGAGTAACTGCATCATACACACAAGAAAGATATGTTTATTAGCTATATACCCTAATTTTGTCCTCTAGTGGTATATTCGTTTGCTCTCTCTACTATTTTACCCCTATTCAACCTAATCAAGACATATAACTATTTTAATTATACTATTCTCTTTCCTGTGTTTGAAACTCTTCTTTATTTTCTTCTTTCTCTCTGTCCTGTAAACAATATCATTTTTTTTCTTATGTTTCGAAACTCTCCTTTATTTTTCTCTTTCTCTCTCTCCATAATCTAGAAATTAAAGCTTTGATTCCATGGAAAATGGTCAAAAAAAAATAAAATAAAAAGTATTTTGAAGAAGAGGAAAGAGTAAAGCTTTGATTTTAACAAAGCCTTTAGCTTTGGTTTGCCGTCTTCCATAGGAGACCCCTCATAGCTTGGATTTTAATTTTTTATGAGACGTATTTAATGTTCTTGAAGAAATGATGAAATTATACTTCATAAAAATGGTGGGTTTGGTTCAGATTGTTTTACCGAGTTGAGTAGGTGAGTTTGATTTGAGTTAACTCAATATAACAAGTTGGTTCATTAAATAATTGGAAGTCTTGGACAAAACTTTATTTGTTCCAGTAAGTATAATATTAGCTTGTCAACAAATCGACACACAAATATCAAAAAATATTGCCTTCAGCTAATACTAATAATAATAATTGACAACAGAAAGATACAAAACTGTTCTAGAAGTGCACTTACAATTATTGACCAGATAAATCTTTTCATATTCAGCTAAGAATAATAATATTGGTTTTCTGGATGATTGGATTTAAAACGTTTTATGTATTTGGCTAAACATGATATTAGCTTTCTGATAATTTGCAACAACTTCTAGTTTAAGAAATTGTTAGCCGGATAAGAATTTGTAAGTACAACTAATTATTTTATTAGCTGTTATTTGAAATGGTATAAATTTAGAGGACATTTTTATATGTTACTATATATGTTAACAAGCTAACAATGTCACAAAACATGCTAACAATGCCATAATAATAGTGAAAGATACATGAATATTTAAATGGTTAGATGCTATTAAAATTGTTAGCAGCCTAACATTGAATTTTTAGACTATTAAATATATAACATTCTAGCAGTTAATCATAGATATGTTGATAGTGTTTGCTCTTAAAGAATCATTAAGAACAAGCACTAATTTTGCGACAAACACAGCTCATATCCACTGTCCAAAGAAGTTCACATATGCTCCTTTGATTATAGTATATACGTAGTTTGCAGTGGTGCTTTTGTGAAGCAATAGCCTCAACTAATGACCTGATTTTGTTATAAAAAAAAAAAACAAAGGCGTCAGTTAAAGCTTAGCTTGTTGCTCAAAGATTATGATGGTTCAGTTAAAGCTTACTGTGAGGGATAAAACTCACTTCCTAATTTAGATCATGTTTTGATTGGAGAGAAGATAACGTGTGCTGAATCCCGTTTAGAACTTAGAGAATGAATTATGATTATATTGATTGTTTTTGACGAAGAATGATTACAAAGGTGATTACAAAGATGATTCTGATGATTACAAAGAATTATGAGAATGATTTGTGAACTAGAATGTGTGTAAGAATGGTTGAATGAATAAATCCAGAGAGGATCCCTTTCCCTGATCTCCTCCTCGTCCTTAAATAGCTCTCAGCCACGTTTGAACGATCCTAACCAACCTCCGAGATTTGCTCCGTGAGTTGGGGGATTATCAATAGTCTCCTTTTGACCGCGTCCTACGCAACCAGCCTGAGCTACTCATGTTACCTCTTTGTAAATGAGGTCCGGAGCTCTCCTCCATGACCTGTTTTATTGACGTTACTTCCTTAGCAAACAGCCTCCGGCTTCTTTTTAACTCTTTTCTCAAAAGATTAATTGCTAATGGGCTTACAGTGGCCCATAGTCAACTTTTATCACTCGAGCACATTAGTCTCAGCTAACGGGCCATATTTGGGCCCAACACTTACCTTGCAAGCATAAATTATGAGCATTTATACAAAATACATTAGTCTCTTTTCGAAACCCTTCCCCAGAAATCTAACTTTTCGCATGCAACGCAATATTATTTTTTTTATCTTCCTGGCCATGCATCTGCTGTGTCAGATTTTTCTGAGTTTCTACTAGTTCTTGATACACGAACAGACATACGTAAAAGAGGTGGGGAAAAGTTCAATCATTACTAACCCCCAATTAAAAGTGAAACGAGTTTAGGTTACTACCTATAAACGGTCTACCCTAATTATCGAAAACAAAAGGTGATGAGGTTACTTTGGTAGTTGCAACATCTCATCCCATTAATCTGATCCCCACAGTTAACTGTATTGTGTATTTTACTAATTATAAACTTCTTATAGGATTTTCAGCAAATTTACTCAATATTTTAATAAGAGAACAAAAATCAAATAAAAAGTCGAAGGCCTGGATTATACCTTTCATTTCCATAATATAAATAAAACTAGGTGTTTTGCCCGCACATGCGGGCATAATTATCGTACAATTTATTATTAGTTTATATTTTATTAATTCAAACCAATATAATAAGTTATGATTTATGTTTTAAAATTAATTATAAATGACAACACTCACATAACAAAATATTTTTAAAAAAATATTTTTACAAATGTATTGTTTTAATTTATTTTAATTATAATTTTTCTATCTTAATTTTTATTTCTATAATAAAAATATATTTTCAATATAACAATATAATACATAAGAAGTATCTTATTTTCTCAAAATATAATTTTTAATAGAAATTCGTTTTTATTTTATAATAAATTTTATATGAAATTATTAAAAATATCACAAATAAGAAAAATTATCTAAATCATGGAGAAATTACAAGTCAGATAGTTCACTTAAATTTTCTAATAGAAAATATATGCTCAAGATAATCTATACTATTATATACGAAGTAAATTTGCTTAATTGTCAAATATTTTAAAGATAACAATATAATACATAAGAATTTTCTTATTTTCTGAAAGTATAATATTATTAATAGAAATTTGTTTTATTATATGATTAATTATTGATAACATTATTTAAAATATAACAAATAAGCAAAATTACAAAAATCATGGAGAAGTTACAAATAAATCAGTAAATTCATTTGAATTTTATAATATAAAAATATATTTTTAAGATAATATTTTAATACAAAATAATTAACATATTTTCTCAAATATAATATTATTAATATAAATTCGTTTTTATTAAACAATAGATTGTATATGAAGTTATTTAAATAAGGTAAATAAAAAAATTTACCTAAAATCAAGGAGAAATTGACAACTAAGCAAATTTACTT